GTTGACCTTGGGAGGCTTGAAGGGGTAGTCGGTAGGGAAGTGGATGGCAAGGAAGAAAACACCGCCAGAGTAGGGAGAGTCGCCCTGCATCGCGTTAGCTTGTGTTCGGTCGCAGCTGCTCCGGGATTTGATGCTGGCCATAGCATGTGGTATTCCCACATGCCGTGTCCAGCATCAAAGTGGTGTACTTACAGGTCCCATGATCGTAGCTTGCCAGTGGAACTACAGTCCCAAGTCAGCACATTATTCCGAGTCTATCAAAGACGTGTGGTGAAGCCATCGTCTCGACTCGGCTGAGTCATGATTCGAGGCATCATCACCACGGTCTTCTATCGGGGTAGCTTACCAGGTCCTCGCCGACGGGGCCGGCGGAGCAGGAGGAGGGCGGGTCACTGTGAAGCCGACCATGTTAGCGTATTGTCTCTCTGTAAAACTGGTTGCCTTTGTAGGTGTCATTCCGCCGTGACCGTCGTCATCAACGACCCGAGATATAATGGATGATGGAGGGCGTCTCGCTGAAGAAGACCCCGCTCTCCCGATCGCCCCACCTTACGTCTCGGGCTGCGACAAAAGCTTGCGGCGACGACGGCGGATGGCAAGGCTGGGAAAATGGGAAGCAAACATACCGGCCGAGGTCAGTGAGCTCCTTGTTAATTCTCTTGAGGGCCATTTTGGCAGAGTTGTGTGGTTGTTGGGGTATCTAAGATGATCGGTCGCCCGCGCGAATGCTCTGTGTCTGTTGGTGTGAGGGGCAAAAGTCAGCGAAAGCGGTCGAGGTGGGCTTTTTCTGGAGTCGGCGGGCGGTGGGCAAGGCAAGACGCAAATGGGTCGGCTGCTGCTGGCGACTTTATGGCTGAGCTGCTTTATTGCTACTTTTCCTTGCTGCGGAAAATGACAGATGGAGGTCGAGGCAGTCGATACAGGCGATGCACAGATCGTAGGAGGGGGCAGGCAGGCAGAAGAGGACAAAGAAACCAAAGCAGCCTCGCGGGTGTTCTGTCGTCGTGCAGCAGTCTAGAGTCGTCGTAGGGATTCGTCGAAGTCGATGCAGCAGGGCTATCGGGTGAAGCGAACCAGGATATCGCGGTCGTCGAAGCAATGAAAGCAGCAGCAGCAGCCGATGCGTGGCGAGATGTTGGGTTGATTGGGACGGGGACAGTGAGTGCAAATCATGTGTTGCGTAGCTTGCGTACCTGATGAGCGAGAGTGTCTATCCCGCCGAGACTCGATGCAGAAAAGAAAGGACTTTTTATTTGGAGTGTGAGAGTCGTTCAAAATAGTCGTCGGTCGGAGGTATTACCGTGGTGGTGCCCGAAGGAAAGTCGTGGAGAATTCGATTCGCTACGTACGTTCCCGTTACAGGTTGATGTCGAGATTGAATTTGGGTGGAGGAGAGGAAAGAGAAGGGGAAGTCACGGTCGGGCCTACGAAAAACGACGGGAAGGGTCGCTGCTGTGTGCGGTGGGCTTTGCTTTGCTTTGGGCAGTGGAAGGCAGTGTGCAGAGCCACTCTTGCCCACCAGTCAGTCACTGTGACTGGAAGGAGGGGGGTTCCTTTGCTTGCCTTTCCCCTCCTTCCTTCCTGCCGCCCAGTCACGACTCACCAGTCAGTACCTCTGTAGAGGGGGAGCAAACCCAAGGTTGGCTGGCTGCTTCCACTCAGGTTGGCCGCAGGCGGAAGTGGAAGTACCTTCACCTGCCTGAGCCACAGTCCAGGTACCTTACCTGCCAGCCCAGCAGGAAGCTGCCCGTCCAGTAGCGTCATGCAGCCCAAACAAACAGTGGGCTTGCCGCCCGACAAACCGCACTTTGGTTGGCTTCAGTCATGACGCTCGTCCCTCAGAGTCGTGTGCTCTGTTTTTAGTGCTCGCTTTCCACCTCAGGTACATCTGGTGGATGCGCCCCGCTGCAATGGGAACCTGGACGGAGCATGCGCACCGCCACACATGCCTTCCGGAGATACTTGCACCACTAACAGATGGCAACTTCCTGCTGCGTCAGGATTGGTAATGCTTGCTGACTGTCCCGGTTATTCAGCCCATTCCTCAGCCTCAGGCTCGTGCAACCGACCATGTGCTTCCCTGTCCTTCTACCACGACTGGCAGGCGACTGACACGACAGCCCGCCATCTTCAGCGAACTGTCCCAGTTGCTGCAGGCCGTGGAAGCAGCGGCATTCACGTCCGCCAGACACTTTCTTGATCCTCCGGGCCGGCATGACTGGCAACCCTGGACCCAACCTAACCGCCTAACAACGCATCACGCACGAGCAAAACACCCTCGAATCGTGTCATCGCCAAAGCATGCGTCGCATGAAACCTCGTGTCCTTCTTGCTGCAATCAAGCGAGGCTGTTCATCCTCGACGCGACTGCCCAAAAGCCCATCTATGCATCTGCCATCCCATCGCGAGTCCGGAAATGACGTCCGTCTGTCGCTCTCAAACTGACAACGGTACATCCTCCAGGCACCATACACTTCCAAATGCAGTGGTACCTCGCCCACAGTGCACTCTAGCATCCCATCCTAGATCTGAACTCTGACCCGGCTGCTGCCGAACAATGGGCCACTCCCGGAAAGCATCTCCCCGGCTCGTGTCGACATCCAGCACCGCTGCTGACGGCTCGGCTTCATCCACTTGCCATGATCTTCGCTGCTGCATATTGTGGCGGTGCTCCCCCGAGAGCCACGGTGCCGGCACTCTGGGGATCTGGGGAATTCTTGTTCAGTGCGCATTTACCACGCCGAACTGATTACAGATATGCAGGCACCATCGCCGCAACTGGCTGGCACTACCCGAGCAGCTTCGTTCAGATTGTCACTGCGACACCGCAGCAATGTCGCCGACGACGTCATTCGCCGACGTCGGTTCATTATGTAATCATGATACTGCTCTCCCCGGCCAATGAGAGCAGCTCTAGTTTGTGCCTCGGATGGTGCTCGGGACGTCCACCGGCGGGGCAACGCCTCGGGGTCGGTAGTTGAACGGCAACACTGCCATCATGCCGTTCACACGATTCCCCTCAAACCACCTCGTGGACGTCTCAATTGGCAATTCTCCAACATGTATCGACCAGCCCTGAGGACATGCGCAAGGCAATGCGTCGCCAGACGCGCCGTCCCCGCCTCGAGGTCCTTTGCCTCCTCCAGCGGCCCTGTCTTTGACTGGGAGGACCCCCTTAATGCGAAGAACCTCTTGACTGAGGAGGAACTCGCTATCTCAGAGACCGCCGAGCGTTACTGCCAGGAGCGCATGTTGCCGCGCGTGCTCCGTATGTGCTCTAGCTTCCATCCTCGTTGTACATTCTAACTGTTTATAGAGGCCTACCGAGACGAGAACTACGACAAAAAGATCCTTGAAGAAATGGGCGAGCTGGGACTTCTCGGAGCGACGATCGAAGGATATGGCTGCGCAGGCATCTCGACCGTCGCTGGTGGTCTCATCACAAAGGCTGTGGAGAGGGTGGACAGCGGCTACCGCTCCGGCATGTCAGTCCAGTCATCTCTCGTCATGGGCGGCATAGCCGAGTTTGGTTCCGAGGAACAGAAGGAGAAATACCTGCCCGGCATGGCCCAGGGCAAGGTTCTCGGTGCCTTTGGCTTGACGGAGCCCAACCACGGCAGCGACCCCGGCTCCATGGAGACCACCGCGAAGCCTCACCCGACCAAGAAGGGCTACTACTCCCTCTCTGGGGCCAAGACGTGGATCACAAACTCCCCTATCGCAGACGTTCTTATGGTCTGGGCCAAGTTGCAAGAGACCGGAAAGATCCGTGGGTTCCTCGTTGACCGCTCCCAATGCCCGCCGGGAACTCTCGAGACTCCCGCCATCAAGAACAAGAACGGTCTTCGCGCCTCAATCACGGGTATGATCCAGCTCGACGACTGCCCTGTGCCGGAGGCGAACATGTTCCCCGAGGTTGAGGGTCTCCGTGGTCCCTTCTCTTGCCTCAACAGCGCCCGCTACGGCATCTCTCTTGGTGTTATGGGAGCCTTGGAGGACTGCGTCGCTCGCGCCAGGACATATTCCCTCGAGCGCAAGCAGTTCAAGAATAACCCGATCGCAAAGTACCAGCTGGTTCAAAAGAAGCTCGCCGACGCCGCGACGGATGCCGCTTACGGCACTGTCGCTGCGATCCAGGTCGGAAGACTCAAGGATGAAGGCAAGGCGACGCCGGAGATGATTAGCATGGTCAAGCGCCAGAACTGCGACCGCGCGCTGTGGAATGCGCGTGTTCTGCAGGAGATCTTTGGCGGCAATGCGGTCAGTGATGAGTATGGTATCGGCCGTCATGTGGCGAACTTGTTCGTCACGCAGACTTACGAGGGGCAGAGTGACATTCACAGTGAGTTTTGCGCGTGGCCCAGTCATAAGGCTGTACTAACATGGGACAGGTCTCATTCTTGGCCGTGCTATTACGGGCATCCAGGCATTCGTTTAAGCGAAAATGAAGTGAGGTCGATGTATCCAAGATTGTGCCGGGCAACGGACACGGCTTGTGTGAATAACTCGAAAATACCGTCATTTATGCCTGTTAGTTAGCTGTTCGTTGAGCGAGCAAATTAATCAGTACAAAAAGCAAGTTCAACCAGAAGACGAGTTTTCCCTGGCCGTGGAGGCAAAAGATAGGTCCATCCAGGATTCGAACCTGGGCTTACGGAAGGTACTGATGTTAATCAGAATCCGACGTCCTAACCAACTAGACTAATAGACCATGTATCGCAAGCTAATTGCTGGAGAAGGTCGGCGACGAAGGCGCTCTTGTGGGGCGATTCAGTGCTCACGATCGTGCGTTTCTCCACCCGTCCCGCGCTACAGAGGCCGGGACAAACGTCTGTGAAGCGGCTCCCAGTTCTAAACCTCAGAACCTTGCAAACGCAATTCGTTTTATATATTAAAGATTAAATATCTAGGCTCCTTTAATCACTTCAAATTGTTAGTTTTGTTGTGGTGGTTTTATGAGAAGCTGTGCTGTGCGAAACTTTGATCACAAAGGCTTGCCTTTACCTGACATAGCTTCTTATTTCCTCCTGTATCCAAGAATCCTCCCGGTCTTCATGAAACAGAGTCCAGTGCTTGATCCACCAATACCCATCTGACTTGCCCGAGTCTTTCATCGCTTCAAACATTCGTCTCATAGAACGCACCCGGCAAAGGCTCTTCCACTCCTGGCCACTGAGGAAGCCTCTTGCGCAGTCGAGAACCACAGCAGCGATCCCGGCAGCAATGGGCGCTGCACACGATGTACCACTCATTTGTCTGTGGTCGCCCGGCGACCTCAGCTTTCGTGGCCATGCTGAGTTGATGCACTCCCCGAGAACCATGATCCGCATGTTGTCCATCGGACTCGGTGTGAATGCAGAACGGTTGCCGTATCCATCCCCCGAATGGACGCAGATGACGTTTTCTTCCCGAGCTGGCCATACAATGCCATCCGGCCGGTTCTTTCCCCCGTTGGATGCTGCTGCAAACATCAACACGCCTTTCCTAGCGGCGTCTTGAATTTCTTGGTACATGACATCGTTGTTGACGAAGAAGCCAAAGAACATGACGATAATGTCAACTTTCCACACATTTACAGCGTATTGAAGGACCTAATCCAGTCAATTATTGGACAGTCTGGTCACAAAGGACGGGTCACTCACCTCAGCAATAATTAGCGCAGACTTGTCGCCATTAGGTCTGCTCTTGAATACTCTCGCCATATGAATCTCGGCGTTTGGCGTGATCTTCCGCAGGAGGATGGCTAGATGGGTTCCATGGCCGACGTCATCTCTCCATTCGGTGTGCCCGTCGACCCAGCTCTTGTACTTGATCCTCGGCTCGAAGTCGTACAATTCTCGGTGTTCTGATCTCAACTCGATGCCATTATCCAATATGGCAATCTTGATTCTTCTTGCGTTTGACGTTCTGACGTCGCGCAACTGTTTGGCTCGGAAAAGGACGTCTTCGTGGTACTCAAACCACTCATTTGTTCTCCTGTTGCTGAGCAATCTCTTCAGCGGCAAGTCCGTCCCACACAATACGACTCAGAAAACTTACGCTTCTTCATTGACTGTTACTTCCCTCTCATCCCCATCTGCCATAAGACACAATTCATGTCGTCTCGCAACCTGAACCTGAGGCGCTGTTTCAACTAAGAAAAAGGTCAGCTCTAGGATGCTTGAACATTGTTGCTATATGCACGAACCCTCAGGCACCGTTGCTAGGCTGTGACGGCAGCTCTCCGGCGGTTGCTTAAGTGATGGTTTGACGCTTGCTTCCTCGACGTTGCCAAGACCGTTCAGCTCCTTGTCCAACGACGTATGGAACTCCTCTAGGCGAATGTTGTAGCCATCCACCAGCTCCGATGCCAGCGGAAGAAGGATGCATGACAGGATGTACTGGCGTAATTGGACCTTCTTCTGCCAGGCTGGTGCTCGGAATTTCGGGCGGCGGCTTCAGGTCTATGCAAACCCTAATTACCTTGCGGAGAGCAGAGGATATATACTCTCGCTCCGTTTCCAGCTTCTCCATCTGGTCCCAGGCTTTCAGGAAAATTTTACTGCATTGCTCCCAGCTGGAATCCGCTGTTTGGGAACTTTTGGGGAACATGGAACCTGTGGCGATCTCGAGGAAGATGATGCCTAGAGCCAGGATACTCGGATGAGAGTGAGCTTGCATGTGTGTGTGTTGTCTGGATGTGCTAGTAGAACACTGCGTATCTTGCATGTCGACCGATAGGTAGGGAAATGTCAACGTAACCGGTTTCAACGCTGAGGCGCCCGTCCGCCGGATAAAGTAGACTTTGTTACTGCTCCACGCTGCCCTTAGCCAGGAGCCCGGGTATAGGAAGAGCATCGAGTTGGTCAAGATATAGCAGAGCGTCAATTTGTCCTTATCCGAATAGTTGCCAAGGATATGGACATCTCATTCTCCAAGAGCTGCTGAAGAGGTCCCAAGGGATGGTAAGTCTCCATGTACGGTTAGGAGCCGACGTCAACGTGATAGACAACTGGCATATGTCGCCGCTACACACAGCTGCCGGTGACAAAAACTCCTCAGCTGCGTCTCAGCTACTTCGATTAGGAGCCAAAGTCAATGGCAAGGACTACATGGGATGGACACCTTTGCTGCGAGCCACAATTTGTGGCTGCAGCAAGACCGTCGAATCATTGTTTCGGAACGGTGCTTCGATTGAAGATGCGGACGAGAGCTCCGTCTGCATACTCGCAATTGCCGCAATGATGGGGGAAGAAAACATTATTTCAACTATTCTTGAGTATGGGGCCGATGTTGACACAAGAGACAAACAAGCTTGGACACCGTTGCTACATGCAACGGCGAATGGACACGGCGAATCCAGTTCGCGAATTACTTGCTTGGGGGACTGATATTCAGGCAAAAGAGGAAGACGGTTGGGATCCGCTGCTCATCGCCACGTCGATGGGGCATGAAGCTATCGTCGAACTGCTACTGCATTACGGAGCAGATGTCAAATCCACTTTGAATGGAGGGTACAGTCCACTACTAACTGCTGCGTGCACAGGATACAACTCTATAGTATCTCTCCTTTGCCAGTCTCTATCGCCCGAGGATAGGGAGGCGAGAGAACAATTTGGGCAAACACCGTTGCTCATTGCCAACAGGCATGGTCACGATGCTATAGTTGAACAGCTGCTCGAGTATGATGTTAACACAGAGGCGAAGGAGTACAATTTTGGACAAAAACCACTGCTCATGGCGGTTCGTCTTGGTCACATAGGTATCGTTGGATTATTACTATTCCACGGGGCTGATATTGAAGCCACCAGATTCGACGGCAAAAACGCGATAGAGATTGCGTCTGTACCTGAGAGAAGAGAAATCTTGGATGACTTACTGGCTCATAAATCATTTATAAGTCTGTAGACGAAAATCTATTCTTAGATTTTGAGCCTTGATTTCTCACATGTTCAAGCAGTTATCGGGTGAGCTTGAGACGTACCCTTATTTTTGATTTGCTAAAGCGACTACTTTTCCCGTGAGCTCAAGTATTCTTTAACTTGCTGTCGCCTTCGTCGCTATCGCCATGCTTATTTTCGTTATCGTTGTCGTCACCTCTGCCGTTACTGTTAGAATGGTTCTATTATCGTCGTCAATACTATCGTGGAATGTAGTACCATAGTTCCCGAGCGAAATCATTTGCTGCACAGGAAACACAGCCGCGCGCACACAGAGGAATGAGGCAGTCTGTTCAGAGTAGCGAGGCAACGTACCAACAGTCTATGTGCCCTATCCATGACTGAGTGAAGCCGCAGGAGCTAAGGTACAATGCCCGCAGCTGGAGCTCAGGCGGAACTGCCGGCATCTAGATTGATGTCGAGAAGCACAAGAATGAAAGAGTGACGAGCCTATTCAGTATACATGCCTTCCACCCCCTGAAGTAGTCTCTACACCGTCTCCTCTTTCATCAAGTGACGGCTGATGACACGGACCGACTCCTTGGCTAAGCAACACCTTCGACTATGCGCCCTGAACCGCCCTGAACATAACCTGGCCCTTTGTCCAGGGTAGTAGTTTCTGACACTAGCATTTCCCGGGGATGCTGATGCCTCTGGCTTGAAATACCCACAAACTACCTTAACGGGAGGTTTGTAGATGAGGAAGTCAGCAAGAAGTGAATTGTTTCTCGACCCCTTGAACATCCACGGCACCGCCTACTTCGCAGATGAAAAGTCTCGAAAAAGACTTCAACAAACCATCACGGATAGCTGCCGATATCCATGCCTCTTGAAGGACAGAGCAGACGTAACCAAAACTCCATCAGGATATCTCACCCTGCTTCAAGCCAACTTCCCACTATAACCATCCAGATACTCGAACCACAAGAAAGGGTCTATTCATCATCGCCACAACATACAATAATCATACAGAAACCCCCAAAACGCCATCATGCCCTCTCTCCAAACCACACCCATCATCATGAATCTCTCCTCTCAATGCCAACCATCTCATAACCCCCCTCGCCATCGCGCCCCCTCCCCCTCCCTCTCCCCCGCCCAAACCCAACACCCTCCTCCTCGTCCCCTCCAGCACCGCCATTCTGCTGCCCCTCCACACCTCCTCCGCCCGTCGCCGCGCCCGCAGCATGCCCGCCAAACGAAATCGGCCTAAGCTCGCGGTACCGCGACCCCCAAACCGCCAGCGCAACACATATCGCGGAGCTGCTCGCCATCGCGCCCCACCACATCATGTTCCGCGGCACGCGGCCCGTGTACAGCGACGAGACGACGAGGTGCAGCCCGTGCATGGTGAGCGCGAAGTCCGGCACGAGCTTGGAGCGGCCGATCAGGACGATGATTGCGACGGCCCTGTGTTCCTAAGTCAGCCAAACCGCACATATCTGTTTCCTCCCCCGGGAACCCCCAGAAGCAAAGGCAAAAACTCACATGCAGAGCCCCCCGTCGAGAACCCACACAAACGCGCTCAGCCAGCCCTGCGTCGTGTCCCCCCTCACGGCCTCCCACCCAAACACCAGCTCCATGCTGAACCGCGTGCCGGCCACCAGCGCCGTGAAGAGCATGAGCACCAGCGCGCCGGCGTAGTACAGCCCCTGCAGTGCTGCGATCTGCGACGCGATGCGGAGCGGCGGGAGCTCGCCGAGGGCGCCTGGCCGGGGCGGCTTACGACGGCGGGGCATCGTTTCTCTCTCTCAGTGACGACGAAGGTCTCGACTCGGGTGCGCGTGTGTGTTCGATCTCGTTTCTTGCGGATGTTATGTCAAGCTTGCGGTACGGCGTATGTGTATCTTGTTCGTTGTTCGTGGGAAGAAGAATAGGTTGCCTTTCGTAGGTGTCGTTCCCCAGGGATGGGCAAGCCGGGGGGGACGGGTAGTTTAAGATGGGCCAACGGCGCTCCGAATCTCGCTACCGGCGTCGCATATCAAAAAAAGGGCGGCCTATTGTCTTTTTGCGTTTTTGCGCCCTTGCTCCCTAATTTGGAACGGTAATCAAAGAAGAGTCTAAACCCCAGTCTATAACAACAAAGAAGTGTAAAAGTTGGTTGTATGTAGGCAGGTAAAGAAAAACGGCCCGCCGGACCCCGACAGGTATGCGAAGCAACCCAGCAGCAGCGTCAGCGGGATGGAAGGCGTGTCCAGTTTGCGCCACAGCGCGCCCGAGCTTCTGGAAACCGTAGCAGCAAGGAAAGCTTCCAAGGTAACCCGCAAGTACCTGCCACGTCAGGGGATCGTCGAAGCCACAGTCGAAGCCGGCGCTAGCGCCCAAAGAGGACAAGGCTGAGGCTGAACAGGCGCGGAAGCAACGGCCCCCACTACCAGACCTCACAATTCGCATTACGCTGCCGTCCGGCTCACCGCCCGCCCGGGAGAATTCTGCCCCTCTATCGCGCCGACATCACCAAAGAAAGCCGGTCGCCACCCCAGCACTCAAACCACACAAACCGCCGCGAACCCCTCCGTCCTCGACCCCCGAATTCGAACACCGAGAACACCTTCCACTTCGAGCAGCTGAAAGAGACAGACACAATGGGCTTCTTCTCCACAAAGTCAGACGAGGACCGCCGCGCAGAGGAAGTCCGCTCCGGCGCCGTCGCCCCGAAACGCAGCGAGCGCCGCAAGTGCTGGGACGCCCGCGACGCCTACTTCGGCTGCCTCGACGCCAACAACATCGTCGACGCCCTCAAGGACGACCGCCAGGCCCGCAAGGCATGCCCGACTCAGAACGCCGACTTTGAGCGGGATTGTGCCGCTGCGTGGGTGCGTTCCTCTCTTCCCCAGACTGCTTCTTCCCCGGGATTGTCTCCTTCCTCCCAAGAAGCCGCGCTGACTGAACACTCCATGACAACAGGTCAAATACTTCAAGCAATGGCGCGTAGCCGATATCGCCAAGAAGGAGCGGATAGCACAGCTCGAGGCCGAGAACGCCATCAAGATGGACGTGACCACCACCTTCGCCGACAACTCCAAGGGCACGAGCAAGGCCGATCTGCAAGACATGCTGGCGTCCAAGAGGCAGTAGGACCAGCATCAGCCTACCTCCCCGCCGATACAAAGTCCTTCTGTCCCCGGCATCACCCACCACCCACTTGATACCAAATCTCCCCTGTACAACACCATCGATGCCCCGCGACGAAGGGATGTGTGTAATATAATGTATTCATGAAACAAAAGTTTGCCGTTAGAAGCATGGCATATTCAATGAGAAACAACTCTTCTATTTTTGATACCTGGACGAGACCAACCGTATGATGGGAGGAAACCGCCTCTGAATACCACTTTAACCCATGAGTCTTTCCCTTTCAACCCTCACCCCATATCCACCGCCTCGGGTCGTCACTCCACAATGATTTTTTACGTGATGACCTGTATGTATGACTTCTGTATGGAGAAACAAGAGAAAAAACAACTAATAAGGGAAAAGAGAAAAAAAAGGAGAAAAAAGAAGAAGCATGCTTAATGCAATGGTGGTATCATCCATGTGAGAAAACACTAGTAAAAAGCTCTGTGGCTCGGCTCGGCTCTCTGTTGCCTCTGGTCGCTGTGAGACCTCATTGAACGAGCTTGCAGAATTGTCATAGACCCCGTTGATGCAATTGTGATTTTGTCGATCCCTCCGCTGCTTCTGCTGCTTCGTCCCCTTGCTTTTGAACCTCACCTGTCGTCACAACCCGAATTCCTCGATTCTTCTTCCGTAAAAGGGTAGCGCCCTACGCAAGCCCCACACGGAACTGGCTCTCGCCGGCGGCCTCCTTGGGAAGAGGAGGCAGGTCCTTGTTGAGGGACTCTTTGCTCAGGCGAGACTTGAGTCGCAACGAGTCTTCGCGGCTCATGGAGCCATTGCCGTTGGGGAGCGCCCCGTAACCGCTATCCTGACTCTCGGGCTTGAGGTGGTGCCCCTTGGGCGGCGTTGGAGGCGCGTAGTCCCGAAGACTAGCGAGCCTCCTCTCCATGCTCGTCTTGGCGGGGGTTGCCGGTCGGTAGTCGTCCCCGTCACGGCTGCGACCACCCACAGACGAAGCCTCGGCCGTCTCCTCAACAACTGGGAGGATGGGTGCCCCCTGGCCCCCTGACTCCCGACGGTCTCCCAATTTGGTCGTCAACACCATTTCGGGCACGTTGGCCTCCGATGCCCCGTGTCTCTCGGTACGACGAGCTTCCTGGTTGGCGCGCTCGACAGTCTCGCGGGCTTCAGGAGATCTCGCACCTTCCGGCGGCGTTGGCGGAGGTTGGTAATTAGGCATTGGCGGAATGTTGTTCGCTGTGGATCGCCGCCGCAAGCTGGAACTCCAGCTAGCGACGCGCTGGCGCTCAGCAGCCGCTGCAGCTTCGGCTTGTTCTTGGTCCTTCCGCGCCGCTTCCCTGTGCGCCTCCTCAGGTGACATCGTGATACCCTCCACGAAGTTGTAGAAGCGGTCACCGTATTGTTCAGGGGGGAGGGCGGAGATCTGCGTCCTATCGCTAGTAAGACCCTTCCAAAAGTGCTCAATCTTTTTGATCATTCCGTACTACAATGGTCAGCTTAAGCTCACTTCACAATATGGGTCAACTTACGTGAGTCAGACAGTCGATGACGCCCAGGTAGTAGATCTCCTCGGCAGGCGAGTTGTCCTCGTGGGTTGCCTGGAAACCGCCATCGTCCTGATTGAAGATGTAGTTTGACCGGCTGTGCCCCTCCTCAAGTTCATTAGGCATTTGGGTCGCCGCCTCGCCCATGGGTATCGGACGCTCGTGTCGAATCATCTGCCTCAGCTCCCTAGCCTTGCGCGCATTCTCCAACTTAGAGGGCGTGCGCAAGAGCACCGACGGAGGCTCGCCGTCCTCCCCTGTGTTCTCGCCGCCCGGGTTGAATACCTGAAGCGTCTTGCCGCGGAGATTCTCCTCGTTACCCCTGTTGAGATCGTGTATGCCGATGAGAAGAGAATAGTCCATTATTTTGAGCTTCTTCATCAGTACCACGTCCCGCTGCAGCTGCTCCAGGAAGAGTTTCTTCTTCTGTATGCCGAGTTCAAGGTGGCGCTGTCGTCGCAGCCAGTTCAGATCCTTCAGCGTCGCTCGAGGGTTCTTGTCAAGGTCGTCTTCCTTATAGTCGCGGCCGATCGTAGATCCCTTCAAGTCAAACGTGGTATGGATGTCGCGGTGCGGAGGGAAGAGGTTGTTCATGACGACAAAGTGAATCTTCTTTCCGTATGGCATCTTGACTCTGTGCAGGCCGTAGAACTGCGACAGCAGCGTATTCGGGTTCTCGGTGACGTGGTGGTAGTAGTCCTTGAGGATCTTTCGCAGGAACTTGTGCTCGGCGTGGTGGATGGTCTTGATGATGTACTTGTAATCTCGGGAAAAGTAAAAGAAGCTGCCACTCTTTCCCGGTGACCCAAGCTCCGAAAGAATGTACTTGCCCGTCAACGACATCAGGTAGTCGGCCGGATCGAGACGGAAGAGATTGCGCAGATGTCTGAAAACCCACGGGGCGTAATCCTTAAATTTAAAATCGTACTTCGCCGAGGGAACCATCTCATTGCCGGCGCTGCGAATGTTAGCGTATGAGCAAAGGCTGGGATAAGAAGCACGTACATGTCAAAAGTCGACTTTTGCTTCGCGTCGAAATCAGCATCCGTCAATGGGCGATCCAACTTCGCGTTCGTCCGAGAGACGGAGACACGAATGCCCGTCAACATGTTGTAGGCGGTCACCCAATTGGCGTGATGTTCGTCCACCTTTGTTCCCACAAGTACCCTGTCGTCATCCTCCTCTTCTTTCCTCTTCCTCTTGCTCGCCCGCTTTTGCCTGTAGTGCTCCGCCCATCGCAAAGCATCGTCATCCGGAACAACTTCGTCGCGGGGAGCATCGGATTGCATGGATCGGGTGTCTCTCCGCACCAAGTTCAACGATGCCCTACGCACTCTTTGCGTGGTGCTCGTGTGAGAAGTGGGAGAGAAGCGCCCACTCGAGAATGCCGCGTCGGACCCGTCCTTGGATCCGCGGTTGGACTGGGTGCCCGGGACCTCGAGAGTATGTCGATGCTTGAGGCCCGGGTTTGGCGGTTGCAGCCCCGTCGATGTGGATGCATTAGGTGTCGCGCCGGCGGATTGGTATAGGGGAGGGGAAGAGAACCGTTGCGGCGATTGGGGGTTGTTGTGGCTGTTCAGATTGGGGGACAGAGACGAGGTGCTGACGGCGGTTGCCGGCGTCGTGTAACCGTTCGCGTTGCTCTGGGAGGGGATCGGCGGGGGTGCGTAGTTAGGGCTGCTCGTTCCATTCGTCTTTATTGTATGATCAATCGAGCCGGCGGCGGGGGATGCAATTGACGGGGGCGTCAGGTAGGCATCGGTCGAACTCGAGTTGTCTGTATCGGAGGCGGGTTTCCTCACGACCTTGATTGGGGGCGGGGGCGCGGTGCGATCGGGCATGGCGATGGTCGCGCCATTTTGCAGCGGGTGCTTGTGGCTTCTGTAATCGGAGTGAATGTTTTGATAGTCGTGACGGGAGTCGGTGTCGTGATAATCAAAGTCTTGGCCTCCTCCGGCCCCTGCCGAGCCGTTGGGCAACGAGCTCATGCTAGTCGGCCTCGTCCCATTCATCTGCGTGGGGATGGAATCAGAGACGTCGGAGGCGTGTGTTGAGGATGTTGAGCTTTCGTCGAAACTATCATGGAGGTTGTTTGAGCGGGAGGGACGAAGGGG